GGCTGCCGCAGGGATTTAAGGTCGGGATTGCTCCGGGGGAGTCGTACATGACATAAAGCATTGATCCCTGCCTGCTGCTCCCTGCAGAGCCATTCCCGGCAAGCAGCGCCGCTCCTGGCAGCGAGGGAAAATCCCAAAAATTTTCGGAGCACCGGGTGCCTCGGTGGGTTTGGAAGCGGGGTGTGGGATAAAGTAAATCCTGCTTGGGGTGATAAATCCCGGTAAAGTTTGGAAATCCTGCGGGAATTCCATCACACAGTGGTGTTGGCCCTCGCAGTGCTGCGGTTCTGCTGCCCGTGTTTATAAAAGCTGCTGATTACAGGGCTGGGGAAGCGAGGGAGATTAAAGCTGTGAGGGGCAGATTGCTGCTTCCAGATGGGGTACGAGAATGCCGAGGGTTGCAGATGCCTCGGGTGACCTTGTGGCGGCCGCTCAGTTGCTGTGTGCCTCTGTGGGAAGGCAGCGGCCGCCCTTTGTGCTCGCTGAGGCCACTCGTGAGGTAAAGACATTTTTATCAGCTGTTTGTCCAGCAGCGCTGGGGCTCACGGCCTGAAAGGGGCCATTGTGAGCAAAGCCCGGCCATGAGAAGTGGTTTGTGTGGTCATCCTCTGCTGACGGCGCTTTCCCGGTGCCGCTGCAGGCTGGGCTGCAGGGAAATGGTGCAGCACATGCGGGGCTGTCAGGCTGAGGAGGGAGGGAGGGAGGGCTCACGTGTGCCCGTGCTGCTGCTGCTGCTGCTGCTGCTGCTGCCCTGCACGGGCGTCTCCGGGAGCTGAGATGGGGTCAGGGCTCCCTCCCGCCCAGCTCCCACCCCTGCTGCCCCTCCTGCTCCTTCCCCGAGCCTTTTCAGGGCAGCTTCAAAGGGGTTTTGTCCCTCGTGCTTGGCAGGAGGTGGAGTGGGGACCCTGTGGGACAAAATCCACGGCACAGTGCTGAGGGATGTGTTCCTGGGCAGCCAGAACCCTTCACATCCCGATCCTTCCTGTATTCATGGGATGACAACTTCCAAATCCATGTCCTTCCTGTATCCCATGGGATGCCAACCTCCACATCCCAATCCTTCCTGTAACCCATGGGATGCCAACCTCCACATCCCAATCCTTCCTGTATCCCATGGAATGCCAACTTCCAAATCCCGATCCTTCCTGTAACCCATGGGATGCCAACCTCTGCATCCCAATCCTTCCTGTATTCATGGGATGCCAACCTCCACATCCCATTTCTGTCCATATCCCATGGGATGCCAACCTTCACATCCCAATCCTTCCTGTATTCATGGGATGCCAACCTTCATACCCCTCTGCTGTCCATATCCCATGGGATGCCAGCTTCCACATCCCAATCCTTCCTGTATCCCATGGGATGCCAACTTCCAAATCCCAATCCTTCCTGTATTCATGGGATGCCAACCTCCACATCCCAATCCTTCCTGTATCCCATGGGATGCCAACCTTCACATCCCATTTCTGTCCATATCCCATGGGATGCCAACCTCCACATCCCAGTCCTTCCTGTATCCCATGGGATGCCAACCTCCACATCCCAATCCTTCCTGTATTCATGGGATGCCAACCTTCATACCCCTCTGCTGTCCATATCCCATGGGATGCCAACTTCCACATCCCAATCCTTCCTGTATTCATGGGATGCCAACCTCCACATCCCAGTCCTTCCTGTATCCCATGGGATGCCAACTTCCACATCCCAATCCTTCCTGTATCCCATGGGATGCCAACTTCCAAATCCATGTCCTTCCTGTATCCCATGGGATGCCAACCTTCACATCCCAATACTTCCTGTATCCCATGGGATGCCAACTTCCAAATCCCAATCCTTCCTGTAACCCATGGGATGCCAACTTCCAAATCCGAATCCTTCCTGTATCCCATGGGATGCCAACCTCCACATCCCATTTCTGTCCATATCCCATGGGATGCCAACCTCCACATCCCAATCCTTCCTGTAACCCATGGGATGCCAACCTCCACATCCCAATCCTTCCTGTATCCCATATTTAAGCTGCTTGTCTTACCTGGAATGAGCTGTCTCACAGTGTGATGGTGAGAGTAGGATTGGATGGGATTTTGGGAAGGAATTCCTGGCTGTGAGGGTGGGCAGGCCCTGGCACAGGTGCCCAGAGCAGCTGTGGCTGCCCCTGGATCCCTGGCAGTGCCAAGGCCAGGCTGGACGGGGCTGGAGCAGCCTGGGGCAGTGGGAAGTGCCCCTGGCATGGCAGGGGTGGCACTGGGTGGCATTTAAGGCTCTTTCCAACCCAAGCCATTCCAGGATTCCACGTGTCTGTGGCCCTGGCAGGTTGCTGTGGGAGGGCACAGCAGGGACAGAGGTGGCATTGTCCCAGCAGGTCACACCCCACCTTTGGGCTGCACAGGTGAAAGGGAGGTGCCATCAGCTTCCCAGCTCTGCCAGTCCTGAATTTCAGGAGAGGAGCAGATGGGTCCCATCTCCCTGTGCTCCACACGGCCAAAGGTTGAGCTGGAATCCCATCTGGAGGTTCTGGAGCCGTGCCTTGCCCAGGCTGGGCTGTCAGAGGGAGCAGGACCAGGATTTCGGGCTGTGCCCACGCCTCACGTGTCCCTCAGCACGCGGGGCAGCCTCGTGCCACCACCCCAGCAGGGGCTGGGAAGGCAGCTGGAGACAGGAGAGGCTTTCACAGCAAAGCTGGCCCTTTTATTTTGGGAATCCTGGCCGCTGGCATGTGCTGCATTCCCAGCACAATCGCCAAGGACGTCCTGAGCAGCGGGAGAGCTGCACACCCCACTGATCCCGTGCTGGGAGCACGGCACAAGGGGATTTTCTTTGGGTTCCGTGTCAAGGACAGCTCCGGCTTCCTCCTGCAGGGATTGCTTGGGTGTTTGAAACAAAAACTGCAGAACTGATTAAATATTGAAATCTGGATTGTGAATCATAGAACGGCTGGGGTTGGGAAGGACCTTAAAGCTCATCTCGTTCCTCCCCCTGCCTTGGGCAGGAACATGACAGATGCGTTCTTTTAAGAATGAATGTATGAATTTATGAATTACAGTTACAGATTTAAGGTGGTTATTTTTTATACCCTTATCTGAAGGGTATTTCAGTCTGTAAAGGGACATTTTGCTGCGTTGCTGCATTTTACCCTTTACCACAGAGGAGGAAAAACCCGATCACACCAAAAATGTGGAAAACGCTTTTAAAAATCCAGCTGGGAATGCTTTGAAATTCCCTGTAGGGAACAGGATTAAAGCAAAGCAGGAATGGAGAGGAGACTGCTGCTTGCTTTTTTCCCTTTATTTAAATATTCCCGGAGCTTCCTCCATTTTAATTTTCCCATAAAACATGGCTGTGTGTTAGCGGGGCTGGCTAAACCAGCATCCCCTCCTGCCAGGCGCGGCTCGGCTGAGCCGAGCTCCTGCCGAGCGGGGAGCCCCTCCAGGAGCTGAGCGAGCAGCAGCATCCCGGATTGCCAGAGCATCCCGGATGAGCAGCAGCATCCCGGATTGCCAGCGCATCCCGCGTTCCCAGCCCCATCCCGGATTGCCAGAGCATCCCGGATTGCCCAGCCCCATCCCGGATTGCCAGCGCATCCCGGATTGCCAGCGCATCCCGCATTCCCAGCCCCATCCCGGGTTGCCAGAGCATCCCGGATGAGCAGCAGCATCCCGGATTGCCAGAGCATCCCGGATTCCCAGCGCATCCCGCATTCCCAGCCCCATCCCGGGTTGCCAGAGCATCCCGGATTGCCAGCCCCATCCCGGCACGCGGCCGGCTCCGTGCGCATCCTTCCATCCATCCCCGCTCCTTTGTGCATTCCCCATCCATCCATCCCCGCTCCTTTGTGCATTCCCCATCCCTCCATCCTTCCATCCATCCCCGCTCCTTTGTGCATTCCCCATCCATCCCTCCATCCATCCCCGCTCCTTTGTGCATTCCCCATCCATCCATCCATCCATCCCCGCTCCTTTGTGCATTCCCCATCCATCCCTCCATCCATCCCCGCTCCTTTGTGCATTCCCCATCCATCCATCCATCCATCCCTCCCCGCTCCTTTGTGCACTCCCGCTCGCAGCCCTCGCACCCACCCACGGGCAGCCCGGAGGATGCGCCGCCGCCAGGCTCGCTCCAGGCTGGGATTAGCGGCTGCCGCTGCCTGCGGGAGCTGCGCCTCGGATGAACGCTGAATTTTTGGGGTTGGGAAAGGCTCCTGTGCCGTCGGAGCGGCGATTTCTCCCGGAGGATTTGTGCTGGCTCGCCAGGAGCTTTCCAAAATGCCTGAAGCCAATTATTTGTTATCTGTGTCTTGGGGTTACATTAAGGTGGGTTTAATTCTTTAAGGATTGCTAATTACCGAATTATTAACGGCTGCTTTTTTTTTTTTTTTGTGCTGTATTGCTCTGAGAAAGCCTCTGTGAGGAAAATATGCTTTTAAAATGCTGATTTCTGTGTGTTTTGTAGTGTGCATGTAGAGTCCATGGATGTCATTTTTTTTGGGAATTCGGTGTTGCAGGTTAAAATGATGCAGCAGTGAAAGTGCTGGATTATAAAACCAGCAGGATCCAGCATGAATATCTGAGGGAATCATGCCTGAATCCCTCATTTTGCTGAATGATCTCCAGATTTAGGGCATATTTCTCCTCTGAATATGCAGCCTTTTAATACAAAATGGAGCAAATTTAGAAAATGCAGAACAAAAGAAGGTTTAGGGATGGGGAATCTCAACCTGAGATAAAAATCTGAGCTTTCAGAGAGATTTATCTGAGGCGTTCTCTCCTCGTTTGTGACAGTAGCAACTAATGAGCATCTTTAGAGGAAAATTAATTCCGTGGGCTGAAAAGAAATACCCAGTCCCGGTGGTGCCGAGCAGGGTGGAAATGAAACCATCTGTCGCCGGCTCCATCCCAAACATCCCCGGAATTGTGTGTGCCGGGGGAGTCTCCCGCGCTGCTGCCGCGGATTTGGGAGCGGATTCCGTAAAAATGCCATTTTCTGTGCTCTCCCCCTCGCAGTTCAAGAGGATGCTGAACCGGGAGCTCACCCACCTGTCCGAGATGAGCCGCTCCGGCAACCAAGTGTCCGAGTACATTTCCAACACCTTCCTGGGTAAGGAATGCGGCCCCACGGTGTGCGGGGCTGGGCAGGGGCAGCCCCACTGCCCCCATTCGCAGCCTCCCTCTGTGGGTTTCACTTTCACGGGGCTGTGGGATGGGGAGAATGGTGTTTGGATAGGAGGAATTCCTCCCCGAGCCTCGGGAGGGTTTGGGAGGCTGCTGCTGGTGGTGCCTTATGCAATGCTGGGGTTTTGTGGTGACCTTATGGAAAGGACAATGTCACCCAGGGCCAGCTGCAGCCACTGCCTCCTTCAGCTGCACCTTCCCCTCGGAGATGGGGCTCTGAATAAATCATCCCCGAAGTTTATCCATTGCTTTGTGTAAATCTGCTCATGTTGCACCAGGAGTCAGAAAAAAGAGGGAATATTTTGCGTTTCATTCATTCATGTGTGAGCTCACAGCTCCACATACGTGAATGACTCCTCTGTGTCAGCATTTGTTAGGACAAATGAGGTTTTCTCAGGAAGCAGCTTCAGGGTTTGTGACCTTTTGCTTCTAAAATGAGGAGCCTCATATTTATGGACATCCCTGAATGCAGGAGCTCCAGAGGCCGAGTGCTGCGGGTGCTGGGGACTCTGCCCCGAGGCTGGAGCTGCATTCCCTGTGTGACACAATTATTCCCATTAAAGGCTTTAAAGTGATTCCAATACCCAGCTGCAGCTGGAACTGCTGCCTGCATTTAGGACACAGCATTAATAATCCATGGAAGTTTGGAGCTGCTTTGTGGGGATGCATGGATGTTATTGCTCAGCTGAACCCAGAGCCTGAATTCGAGCAGGGAATGGGGCTGGGTTGGGATGCACAAAGGGGCCAATGCAGGGATTTGGCTGGTGGTCAGCTCTGCCCAGCAGCCACGTGAGTGTGCAGCAGGAATTGCCAATGTGGCAAAAATAAACCCCACAAACGCTCAGGGTAATGGAGCCTGAATCCCAGCAGGGGCTGATGAGCCGGAGCTGCTGCTGGGATTGTTTTATTCACGGAATTCCAGACTGGTTTGGGGTGGGAAGGACCAAGGGCCTGGCACTGCTGAGGGGGGCAGGTTCTCCAGATTGGGCCAGATTGCAGCCTGATTGCTCATCCTCAAAAAAAATGAGAGAAGCTTTTACAAGGATTGTCAGTTGTTTCAGGAAATCATGCCAGTATGGGGTTTATGAATTAGTTTTTTCCTTCCTAAAATTTAAGTTAAATTAAGTGAACACCCAAAATAACAGGAGTCTGCAAATAAGGAGGTTGAACAAACAAACAAAAAGAAATGTGTGGGTAGGACACTCAATTATCTCCAAAGGTGGGGATAATTCAGAGATATTAAACCCAGATCATGTGAGTTTATTCAGCCTTTTGATTTTATCAGGGCAAGGAGGGACAGGACACAGGGAATGGCTTCCCACTGCCAGAGGGCAGGGATGGATGGGATGTTGGGCAGGAATTCCTCCCTGTGGAGGGGATGAGGGCCTGGCACAGGGTGCCCAACACCCCTGGCAGTGCCCAAGGCCAGGCTGGAGCACCTGGGACAGTGGAAGTGTCCTTGCCCTGGCAGGGGGTGGAACCAGAGGATCTTTCAGCTCCCTCCCATCCCCAGTCATGCTGTAATTCCGTGATGAGATGGGCTGGGAAGGCTCCCAGAAGGAGCAGAGGGTCCAGCCCTGCATTCCCAGCAAGGACAGAGAGGAGCAGCAGAGGCTCCACACCACACCAGAGGGACCATCCCACTGCCCGTGGGTCACAGCTCCTCTTAAGGGACCATCCCACTGCCCGTGGGTCACAGCTCCTCCCGAGGGCACAGCAGTGGCCCTGCCACCCCCGTGGGGACACTGAGGCCACAAATCAGGGATTTCTGCTCCACAATGGCCATTTGCTGCTGCCTTAGTCACTGCTAAGGAGATTATGGGGAGGAAAGTCCTTCGGTGGTTGAGCAAAACCCAGGGAACACCCTGTGATGTCAGCCCGGCTGCGCTGTGAATAATGGCGCCTTTCCTAAGTGCTGCTGCTGCCTGGGCTTTCACAGGGCTTTCATTAAGCAAAAGTCACTCCTGTCTGTCAGCCTCGTCCCTCTGGAGGTCCTCATGGTGCTCAGAGGTTGGGGTAAAATCCATGAGAAATGGTTTGGATGGAAGTCATGAGCCACCGGATCGGTGCTTTAATAAATCAGCTGTAGGGCAGTGAATGCCATGTGGTTTTAAGATTTATTTATTTGCTAAACACACCTCCACAGCCAGGTTTGGGCCCTCTTCATGTGCACTAAAACTGTGATTATCCCTGAGAATGGCAATGGGATTTAGCCTGTTCTTTGGATTTTATTCCATACATATTTGTAAGGGAAAAATCTTTAATGAATCAGTGACACCCATTTGTTACTGGTTTTAAGAGCAGGGGATATTGACCCTAAAAAGTGAAAATAGGAAAATAGATGTGGTTTTACCCTAATCAGGAAAAAAAAAAGTGTTGTTTGAACATATCTTTTATTTTCCTGCAAATAGGGAATAAAATTAATTGGGATTTATCCCCAAGGAGAGCCTGGTGCCTTTCAGGCATGGAAAATCACAGAATCATTTAGGCTGGAGATCGTGGGGTCCAGACCTAATCCATGTCCCCAAGTGCCACATCCATGCACAGAGAGACATTCCTGGACATGTCCAGTGTCCCCAGACCACACAGTGGCTGCAAGAGACCAACCAGAGCTTTTGTAACTGCGTTTTTTTTGAGTTTTGGCTCCCAAAATGAGAAAACCCCCAAGGGGCTGAAGTGGGGAGCAGGGGCAGCAGCTCGAGGGCTGATTCTGTGGGATGTGCTGGGAGCTCACGTTGTGCTGACTCATTTCCCCCTGCTCTGTTGCAGACAAGCAGAACGATGTGGAGATCCCTTCTCCCACCCAGAAGGACAGGGAGAAGAAGAAAAAACAGCAGCTCATGACACAGATCAGTGGGGTGAAGAAACTGATGCACAGCTCGAGCTTGAACAACACCAGCATCTCACGGTTTGGGGTGAAGACAGAGAAGGAGGATCACCTGGCCAAGGTAGGGGAGATTCCTGCTCTTCTGGGAGCATCTGGAAGCTGGGAATGGGTTGTTCCTTTCCTTGGAATCAGTATCCCTGAAGTGATGTGGCCATTAGAAATGCTGTAATTGATGGTAGCCACAAGAGCATATTTTATATTTAAAATTCAAAGTAGCCCTAAAATAAAAAGGAAAAAAGGTGATGGAGGCAGAGGAGAGCAATTATGAAACACAAAATCAGCCCCACAGTTACTCTGTGTTCATTAAGCTCACACATTCAGCACTTACATAATTACAATAACCATTACATTTGCATATTTGCGAACTTTCTGGGGAAATGCAGATTTGCCTGTAAAACCGTTCAGACCATTATTTTTTGGTGCTCTCCAAAGGAACTGGAAGACCTGAACAAGTGGGGCCTCAACATCTTCAACGTGGCCAGGTATTCCCACAACCGGCCGCTGACGTGCATCATGTACGCCATATTCCAGGTGGGTGTTGTGCAGGCCAGGCTTCCCTGCTGCTTTTCTCCTGTCCAGCTCCCCTCTGCCCCCCTGCCTGCTCCAGCCCGAGCTGGCACTCAGCTGGGGCTTGTGCTCTGCCCCCTCAGGAGCGGGACCTGCTGAAAACCTTCAAGATCTCGTCGGACACGTTCGTGACGTACATGATGACCCTGGAGGACCACTACCACTCCGACGTGGCCTACCACAACAGCCTGCACGCTGCTGACGTGGCCCAGTCCACCCATGTGCTGCTCTCCACCCCTGCCCTGGATGTGAGTCCCTGCTTGCCTTCTTCCAGCATGGGGTGGGCGCTGGTGGCTCCTCCGAGCGCTCCCTTCGCCTCCGTCCTTAGGGAATCTCAGCATGTGGGGTCTCTGTGTCAGCTTTCTGCAGTGCCTTGGCCCAGAAAACCAATTGAAACAGCACAATTTGTTCCCCTCAATCAGCTTCCCCAGCTGCTGAGAGGTGAAACCCCTCTGACAGGCTCCTGTTGCTCCCTCCTAGGCTGTCTTCACGGATCTGGAGATCCTCGCTGCCATTTTTGCAGCTGCAATCCATGATGTGGATCACCCCGGGGTCTCCAATCAATTCCTGATTAACACAAGTGAGTCTTGTTCTGAATCTCTCAGAATTTCACCCCGAAAGCAATGGGAATGCTTTTTACCTGCCACAAATGACAAATTGCAGGCTGTGCTGCCCTCTCAAAATACAGTGCAGTGCGGGAGTGAGACATTTTGGACTCAAGCAGGAATTAAAATGCAATCCCTGACAAAGGGAACCATTGTAGCACAATTTGTAAAGTCAATATTTACTACTTGCTAGCACATAATAATTCTGCCAGCCCTGAGTGCAAACTTTACCATTAAGATAAGAGGAATAATCCTATTGCTATTGACAACCAGAAAGCCAAATATTGGCCTTTGTGTTGTGTTCTGCCACAGGCTGAGCACGGATCTGGATTTCAGAATATGGGGATTGTTGTGTTTTGGGAAGGATTTTTGCAGGATTCTTTTGCCAGTGACTTGTAACTGAGTCAACTGAGCATTATTTTGTCACTGAGACTGAGCAAAGCCTGTGGAGTGCTGGGGCTGGCACTCATGGAGCTGAAAAGAATCCCAGAATCCTAAAATCATCCAGTATCCCATGGGCAGGGACACCTTCCCCTGGACCAGACTGCTCCAAACCCCATCCAGCCTGGCCCTGAACCCTTCCAGGGATGGGAAAAGAAACTTCCCCCCACTAAAACCTTTCAGTGCCCAGAACAAGCCCCTGCTGGCTGTTGGGAACCCCACATTTCCCAGCCTGGAGTCCCACACTTGGCGTTCCTTCCCCAGATTCCGAGCTGGCCCTGATGTACAACGACGAATCTGTGCTGGAGAACCATCACCTGGCCGTGGGCTTCAAACTGCTCCAGGAGGAGCACTGTGACATCTTCCAGAACCTGACCAAGAAGCAGCGCCAGACGCTCAGGAAGATGGTGATTGACATGGTATGGCCACTCCCTCCCCCTCTTCTCAACCAAAAATGGTCGTTTCTTGTGGCTTCCCCTCCTGAAATCCTGTTTTCCCCCATTCTGGAAAGGTGTTAGCCACTGACATGTCCAAGCACATGAGCTTGTTGGCTGATCTGAAGACTATGGTGGAAACGAAGAAGGTGACCAGTTCAGGAGTTCTCCTTCTGGACAACTACACGGACAGAATACAGGTGAGGCACCCACATTCCCTGGCTTTGGGGTGCTTGGGCCAGGATGGGGAGGCCACACTCCTGGTTTGCTGTGGCTTTGTAATCAATCATACAGAGAAGCTGAATTCTCAGCAGTCATTCCCTTCTTAAAAGAAGCATGAGGTGGTCCTGTATTTTTTAGGTGTTATTTTTTAGGTGTTAACCCAGAATTAGGGATTTTTTAACACTTGGAACTGCAAGCATGGCACATTCCAAGGTCAAGTTTTGAGGGCTCCTAAATGTCCTTGCTGCTTTCTCCCATTTGTTTCTCCTGTTCCAACACTGCAAGAAATTCTTTGAGAACTTCACATCTGAAGCACCTCAGAGTGAGCTGGAATTAACTGCTGTACAGTCTGTTCCCTCAATAATTTAATCCTTGGTTTACACAAGTGACCAGAAAGTGCTGGAACAGAGTTTGCAGTGAGCAGGACAAGATTCATCCTGCTCTGCTCTCCACTTTGATGACCAACTCCTTAAGAGCAGGCTCCTGGGAAAACTCTGTAAATTTTTTATTTCAAGCCCTGGTGCTGCCTGAATCCTTGTGGCCACTTAGTCAGGCCCGTTCTGTGCGTGTGTGGAAGGGATATTACTCATTCCATAAAGTGGGAGCATCTCACCTCTTTCCCTCAGAGCATGGAAGTGGAGTTTGAATGGTGGGAAGCAGCTGGATCCCCAAACAAACCTGTGGGATGCCATTGACACTTCCAGAACTGCTCCAGGTGTGAGGCCTGGGCTGTGTGAGCACCAGAGACCAGTCTGGCTTTGGGGCTGGGGCAGCTCAGCTCATCCATGGAGAGGGAATCACGGAATTCCAGGCTGGTTTGGGTTGGGAGTAACTTTAAATTCATTGCATCCCACCCAACACCTCCCACTGTCCCAGGTGCTCCAAGCCCCAGTGTCCAGCCTGGATTTGGACATTCTAGGGATGCAGGGGCAGCCACAGCTGCTCTGGGAACCTGTGCCAGGGCCTGCCCACCCTCCCAGGGAACAATTCCCAATTCCAATGTCCCATCCATCCCTAGGAGCCATTCCCTGTGTGCTGTCCCTCCATCCCTGTCCCCAGCCCCTCTCAGCTCTCCTGGAGCCCCTTCAGGCCCTGCCAGGGCTCTGAGCTCTCCCTGGATCCTTCTCCTCTCCAGGTGAGCACCCCCAGGTGTCCCAGCCTGGCTCCAGCCCTGCAGCAGCTTCAGGGCTTCCTCTGGGCTCTCTCCAGCAGCTCCAGCTCTTTAACGTGCTGCCGTGCAATGTTTCTGATATTTTTATGGTCTGTTGCATAATCAGAGAATCTTCTGGTGCAACGCTCTGCAGATCCAGCCCGGAGCCCTCCTGTTTTTGCAGCTGATGTTCTGAGTTTCCTGTGGCTGTAATTGCAGGTTCTCCGGAACATGGTGCATTGTGCAGACCTGAGCAACCCCACCAAGTCCCTGGAGCTCTACCGGCAGTGGACAGACAGGATCATGGAGGAGTTCTTCCAGCAGGGGGACAAGGAGAGGGAGAGAGGCATGGAGATCAGCCCCATGTGTGACAAACACACGGCCTCCGTGGAAAAATCCCAGGTAATTGGCCCTGAGCTGCAGCTCTCCCTGCCTGGCCTGGGCATTTCACAGCACAGACAGAGCTCAGCTGCTCCTGCAGCACAACTGGGAGAGGAGCCAGCGGCTCAGAGCGTGCCTCCTGATCCAGCCTGACATCCAGCTCTGCCTGGGGCTCTCACAGGCTGGGGAGGCTCTTCCAGCTCCTCTCCATCCCCCTGGGCATCTCCTCGTCCCCTGCTCGTGTCCCAGTTTCCAGAGGGAGTTGGGTCCTTTTGTTCCCTGGGCTAGGGAGGGCATTTCTGCTCTGCCCACCCTCACCAGCCTGTCCTGCCCTCACCCCATGGATCTGCAGGGCTGGGAGCTTCTCCCACCTGAGATCCCCCTCAGCAAAACTCTGCCTGCCACTCGTTATCCAGGACAATTCTGCACTGCACGTGTCCAGTTGAATTGGAGGCTTCTGGAGCTGCCCCGTGCAGGGTGAATCCCAGAAATATTCATTTGTGTCCCTGCAAAAATTAAAAGGAGCTGGATTTGCCCCTTTTTTTTTGTGGGAGGGGATGAACTGGCTCATCCCTAGTTCTGATTCATAAAATGGTTTCAAGGTCAGATTTTGTTCTGACCTGTGTAGCACAGGCCATAAAATTTCGCCTGGATAATCTGGAATGAAACCAGGAATTTATGTTTGTCCAAACAGATTCCAGCCTTTATATAATGCTGTCTTGGTTGTTGTTTTTGAATGACTCCAGCAAGTCATCATTGAGGTTTTTCAGCTTGAATAAGTAACAAAATTGATGATAATTATTTCCAAATGTCCTCTTGGGCTCGGCCAAGTGCTTTCAAAATTATTCACTCAACCGCGTGGTGATTTTGTTGGAAAAATCTGTCGGGTTTCTTAACCTAACAAGAAATGAATCCTTCAGCCAGGCTTGCCCATGTGCTCCACATGTGAGCTCCAGTTCATTCCTTGCTTCACATCTGCACTTCCCAGAGGCCTCAAAATGCCATTTTTGCCGTGCAAAAGAAAAAAAGAATTGCACAAAATGTCCATCATGAAGTGGCAAAGGAGAAAGGGAGGCGGCGTGTCCGTGCTGGAGGTTTCCAAATGCCATTTTTGCTGTGCAGAAAAGACAGGAATTATACAAAATGGCCATCGTGGAATGGCAAAGGAGAAAGGGAATCAGTGTGTCCGTGCTGGAGGGAAACAACGAGTGGATTAGGAAATAATCTGCAAATATTTCAAAGCTTGAGATGCCTTCTCAATATTTTAGGATCGGTGCTGAGCCACGTGGTCAATTCTTCCATGATTTGGGATGTTTTTGAAGGAGCAGTGACCTGAAACAATGATTTTAAAGAAACTATTTTAAAGAAATTATGATTTTAAAGAAACGACGATTTTAAAGAATCAATTATTTTAAAGAAGCAATGATTAACGAGCGCTGATTTTTACCCATCGGCGCCGTGGAGCCCTGGGACACGTTGGGTTCCAACCATCCCAAACCCTTTTTTTTCCCAGTGCAGCAGGAACTTTTTCATCACCTTTCTGCTGGAGCTGCCTCCCCAGCCCGTTCCAATTGGATGCACGCGGTGCTATTGACATCCTGTTGTGTCTGAGGGAGCGGGAGCCATTTCCAAAGCAAACATCTGCTCCTGGAGCCCTGCTCCTGGGAGAGCCTTTCCGTGCTCCGCGGGGCGGGACGGGCTCTGCCAGGAGGGAGGAATTCCGATCCCTTCCTGGCCCTTGCGCCGGCTCCATCCTGGCCGCGGTTCCTCCCTGAGTCACAGCAGGGCTGAGCTCAGCGGAAGGGCTCAGCATCCCTCACTCTTTCCAGCCTGCAGCGTCAGCCCGCGGGGGCCGGG